CCTTCTGCTGCCGTCGTCCGACGGCCCCTCAGTCAAGGTCTGAGGGGTCCCTGTTCTTGCGCGTCACTGTGCAGCGCCGGCGCCAGCAGCTGGTGCCGTCGTCGCCGTGGCTGCCGTCCCCTTGCCCGCGGCCTTGCTCTTCAGCTCCGCCGCCTTGAACTTTGCCTCCGACAGCCTGTCCGCCTCGGCCTTGATGGCCGCCTCGCGCGCCGCCTCGGCCTTGGCCTGGGCCGCGGGGTCACCGCTGCTCCTGGGGGGCGCAGGCCCTGGAGCTGCGGTGGTGGCCTGCGGATCACCACTGGGGGCTCCCGCATTCCCACCCGCGGCCTCTGGGGCCTGGGCCTGCGTCGCGGTGCCGTCGTCGGACTTCCGCTTCTTGGCAAGCCTCTCGGAGATGGTCTTCTTGTGCTGGGCCATCTGGGCGAGCCACGCCTGAATCTCGGTCTCCTTCCCCTCTAGGTGGGTCTTGACCTTCTGCATCTGGATCCTCAGCTCCTCCAGGGCCTTCCTCTCCCCCTCCGTCGCCCCTAGTTCGTCGAGGCTGGAGAAGAAGCTCTCATCCCACTCCACGTTGATCATCTTCCTCTCGCGCTCGTCGTGCGCCCCTGCACCCTGCGGCTGCACGCCCTCAGCCCTCGCGAGGGCTATGGCTGCGGCCTTCTTGGCGTCGGCCGCCTCGGCCAGCGCGCGAGCCGCCACCTGTTCCTTCGCCTCCGCAGCCGCCAGGTTGCTGCGGAGGCGGACGACGTTGGCGACCGCCTGCTCGTGCACGTGCTCCGCGTTGCGCCACACCCCGTCTGCCCGTCGATGGGCCTCCGCTGGGGAAACCTGCTGCACCTTGGCCCCCAGCTCCGACTTCTCCAGCCTCGCGATCTGGCTGTCGAGGTGGCGCATCAGCTCCTCATCGCCGTCCTCCTTGGCTGCCGCCGCCGCTTGCTTCAGCAAACCTCGGATGGATGTGCCCTTGCCGCCCTTGCCCCCGCTGGTGTTACCCTTCTTCAGGATGCCTGGGGGGAGGGGCTTGCGGGCCCTGGTGTCCTCTGCGTCACTGTCGCTGGTCGCGTCGTAGAAGTGGTCCTCCTCGCTCTCGACTGCTGCGAAGTGCACTCCACGCTTCTTGCCATTGTATAGCTCCACGGTGCTGCCACACTTGCTGCATGCCAGGTGGCGGCGGCGGAGTACTGTGTTCCACTCGCAGGCCTGGCAATGTCCACACCTGCTCCACATCTTGTCCGTGCCAGCCATGCCTCTGTGTTGGTCAGTGTCTGTTCGCCTCTGGCGAGGGCGAAGAAACAAGGTCCCTCAAGCGCTGCGGGGAAGCCCAGAGGCCGAGCTCTTGCAAAATGCCTGAGCCCAGGTTGCTTGAGTCCCCGCGTCAGAGGAGGAGGAGGAGGAGGAGGAGGAGGAGGAGGAGGGTGATGAGGGGGGGAAGGTTGAGGAAGTTGTCGGACGTCTTCGACCGCTTCCCGTCCGCCCTCGTCCGTCGCCTAGCCTCGAGTCTCGCCCCCACGGCTGCGCCTTGGCGACGGCGGTCTGGGGATGCCCTTGGATCGTCCCGAGCGTTTCCGCCAGAGGCCCGGGCTGTGGCCCGAAAGCCAGGCCTGCGTCATCACGCCGTGGAGACATCTTCGGCCTCCGGGGGGCCTCACCCTGCCCGGGGCGCGTGAACCAAATGAGAACGGGATGTGCGCGGGGGGTGCTAAGTGGATACGGGGGTTCTCAGTGGACGCTGAGGTTGGTTATATGGCCTAACCCAGCGTATAAGTGGGTTGCACATGCCCCAAATTGCTCAGGGGGATTGGACAACTCCGCAAAGTGTGTGGAGCCCACTCAGCCTGGATCGCAATGCCCCCCAAGACACTTGGGGCATAAGCGACCCACTAATGAGCTAGGTTAGGCCAGATACAGCAGGACCTTGTCATCCACTGAGAAGCCCCCGATTCCCTTAGCATCCCCCGCGGGATGAAAATCCAGTCCCGGAGAAGGGTTTCAGACCGGAGCCCACGTTGCAGTCAAGATTGATAAGTAGGTCGACCCTGCCACATCAAGGATCTACTCTTGTGTCCTGCGTTTCCTGATCCATGCCGTCTTCGTTTTTTTTATGGCAGGGTGGCTCCCGGGAGGGTCTTGAGTTATGATGCTCCAACCTACTTCAGCTTTGGTCACCAGAAAGAGTTTCGAGCACCACGAAAGTACCGAATCTTGAGGGGCTTCACGTGTCGGGCCCTGGGAGGCGATGCTCGTTCGACATTGTTTTGGGATGTGGTCCTGAAGTATGATGGGAGCAACATAAGTCTTGAGTCCTCTCGCGCGCCCTCTCTTATCAAAGCCGACTGCACGTCGGAGGTCTGGGGAGACCGACTCTGCTGCTCCTCCTGGAGCAGCGTTGGACTTAGACGCTGTTTTGCTGGGCTTCGGCTGTGCTCTGTTCTTCGTTTTGGCCGGGAGGTACAGGAAAACAGGCAGAGCAAGACGAATAACAAAGCGAAAACAAAACGAAAGACAACGTTTAGGTCCAGCCCTGTCCTGGAGGGTCCTCGTCGCCCCGGCCGCACACTCCCCGATGTGTGCCTTGTTGTCGGAGAGCAATCCCGGCAGAGGTCCAGGGAGCGGCGGGCCTTTGCTGGCGCCCCAGGCGAGGGTATCGAGTTGGTGTGAAGTCGGGCGTGTCCCTCTACAGGAGGAATACTCAAACATAGTTTTTTACAATTGTCTGGGAGCGATTTTAATTGCTATTACTTTTGCACTGTTTTGGGCTATTTGACACTTGTCGCTCAAAATCTGCCTGTAGGAGGGCATGCCCGACCTAAAGTTCGTGTGTTACGATCGGGCCGCACAGTAAGGATGAGTTTGTGGTCCAATCTTGCCCCTTCGGCTCATCCTTGGCAACTTTTACTGGCCAGCAACTTTCGAAATGGCCAGCATGGCCCTCCAGGGGCCCGTGCATCCTTGCCGCGTATCCTTATTGCGCGGGTTGTCTGTATGCGCGTGGGTCATTTTAGGTACGAGTTGCTGTATTCCCGGGCTACTGGCGTCGATTTTTGCTGACCAATGGCCGATAATGGGCACCAGCAGGCGCTAAGAGACACTAGTAGTCACTAATAGGGACATCGGTAGACACTACGGGGCGCCAGTTGAGCGGATCCTGCCTCAAAATCCGTCTCATACATCACTCACAAAGCTCAAGGCCGGGGTGTTTCGGTGCCCCAGCTGGCGCAGAGGCCGGAGCGGGGCGTTGTGTGACGCCCGCGTCGTCGCCTCAGGACTCTCCAGAAAAGCGGTCTAGCAGGTGGGGTCGGGTGAGAGGCTAGATTTGGGCGGGAGTGGGACGAGGATAGATCAGTTCCAGAGCTCTCGGGAACGCGCTCGGAGCGTTCCTGAACGCTCTGAGAAGGCCGCGGCGCCCGAGACAACCTCCAGAGCCGCCGGATTTCAGAGGTTCTCGATTTATCCTCACCCGACGTTATCATAGTCTCGGCTTTTTTCTATTAGATGTGGGGCCCGATTTTCACCACGCCGATGCATTGGCGATGCGGCGTGATCGTCCGACCCAAGTGGCTCGGGTCCTGCATTGGAGCCCTCTGCCAGCCGAAGTCTCCAACACAGACTCTGGAACATCAGACACGCCGGTCGTTGAAACTGGTTGATTTTGGATTCCCCAGATCCCAGTCTACTTCAAGCGCCTTCCTACTTCAAGAAACGATTTGAGTTTGCTGTGTTTTGTTTTATCCTCTTGGGGGGCATGAGCCCAATTTCTTTCATCCGCCTTCCTACTTAATATCTGTTTACCTACTTCTTCCGACCGACGTGCAGTCATTCCAGATCGCGCGGCTCCCAATTTGAGTCTCATTCGCAGATGCACGCCTGAGTTCGGGGGGTGGTCTTGAAACCGGGGGGGGGGGGGGGGGGGGGCAACGTCTTCGCCAGGAAGCTGCACACGTCATGGCGTGGCATGGCGTGGCCGGGCCGGGCGAGAGCTGCTACTTCGCCACGCGCAGAGGGGGGTATGGAGGGGGGAAGGCTTCTTAGAAGCACCCTCCCTTCTTAGAAGGCGCGGGGGCCTCTTCTAAGAAGCTTGCTGTTGCTTCTTAGAAGCTGTTCCTGACGTGTTTCCAAGCAGCAGGTGGCTTGCTTCTAAGAAGCTGCTCTTGCTTCTAAGGAGCACTTGCCGTGCCTCTGAAAAGCTGCTGGGGTGCTTCTAAGATGCGGCGCGCCCCTGGCTTCTTAGGTAGAAGGGCGGCCAGCGCCTTCTAACAGGCAGCCGCCTTCTAAGCCCTCCTCCCTCCCTCTGCCCCCTTGTGTTCGCCGCCAAGGTGCAGCGTGTCTTTCCAGCGCTCTTGGCCCGTCCATGGCAGGGCACGGCAGTCCTCCGCAGGGGCATCTGCAGCGCGTGGCCTCCACGCGCTGCAGATGCGACTCTGGCCGTGTGTGTGTGTCTGCTGCCGATGATGGGCCACCACCCTCACCGCAAGTTGGAGGGGGTGTCCTCTTTCCTCCTCCTCCTCCTCTTCGTCCTCCTCCTCCTCGCCCTCCTCCTTCCCCCCTCCAACTTATGGTGGTGGTGGTGGAAAACAGGCTCATCAGCCGAAGCGCCAAGCGTTTTTCTTGTGTTAATTATTCTCGCAAGGTCGAAGTGGGGGGAGGTGGAAGAAACCGGCAGTTCGACGACACCCCGTCCCACCCGCATCGAGTTCAGCCTTCACGACTGTAATCTTCAAGTGTGTGCGTGTGTGTGTGTGTGCGTGTGTGTGTGTGTGTGCGTGTGTGTGTGCGTGTGCGTGTGCGTGTGTGTGTGCGTGTGCGTGTGCGTGTGCGTGTGCGTGTGTGTGTGTGTGTGTGTGTGTGTCCAGCTTCTCTGCACTCCGCTGGTGCCATCGCTCTGTTGGACCAGCCGGCCGCGAAGCAAGAACGTGTGTCCAGCTTCCCTCCCTGCAGGCGCGGTCGGAGGGTCGGGGCATGGGCGCGCGGTCGTGGGCCTCCCGCGCGCGCAATCGCGAGAGGTGCACCTCGTTGGCCACGGGCTCGGGGGCGCGCTGGTGATGGAGGCGCTGCTGCGCGAGGGGATCTACCTGGACGCCGCGGGGTCCGAGGATCGGCGCCTGACGGGCGATTGCTCGCCCCCCCCAGGCTTGTTCTTCCGAAAAAGAAGAGGGGGGGAAGAACCACACGAACACAATTAACCGCCGATTCCCAGGGAAAGGTTGGCAAGTATGAGAAATGGGGGGGAATACGAAAACCCAGAAAGCATTGGAACGTATAGGGGATCCGGGGAATTGTGTCTATTCGTTTGTGTGTGTGTGTGACCCAGGGCCCCTTCAGATGAAGCCGCTCAGGAATGGAGGGAAACGCGAGGCTGCACTCCCCCCGGGGGCCTGTCTGGACGCACCCCCTATCGAGAAGGTGCGCCCGCCCCTCCCAGATCCCCGACCTGGGCCCGACGTGTCTGTCCAGCCTCCACCTACTGGGATGAGCGCGGGGTTGTTTGCTCAGAGGATAGGGTGTTTATCAGTGGAGGGCAAGGTGTGTTATACCTGGCCTAACCTAAGTTAGTGGTGGGTTGCTAATGCCCCAAGTGGCCTGGGCGGTATAGCGATGCAGGCAAAAGTGGGCTCCGCCCACTTGGCGGAGTTGTCTCGTCCTCCTGAGCCACTTGGAGCAGGTGCATCCCACTGATAGGCCAGGTTAGGCCAGGTGCAGGCCACCTTGGCATCCGTTGATAAACCCCCTATCAGCTTAGCATCCCCAGTACCCCCTGGTGCGCCAAAAGCCGGCAGGCGGCCTCTGGCACAGAGGCGGCCTCTGGCACAGAGGCGGTCGGGCAGGTCGGCGTGGCCCCTCGCCCCGAGGAGCTGCCCGCGCCGGTCTCCGTGTGCCTGGTCGCCGCGCCGAGCAGCGCGGCCCTGGCGGAGGCGGAGGCGCGGCGCCTCATCGCGCGGGTGGCCGAGGAGCTGGCCGCGCCGGGGTCGGCCCCTCCCCGTGCGTCACGACGGGAGGTTCTTCCCTGTTGTCGGCCTGCGGGGGCCCTCGCCGGGCCCTGGGAGCGTCAAGAAACGGTTCAGGACGACAAACCAGCCTTGGGGAAGGGGTCCAGACTTTTGGGGGTCGCAGCGTCGGGGATCTGGGTCCGTAGGCCCTTTCCCGCCCGTTGGCCCTCCAGGGTGGTTGAGCTCGCAACGGGGTGGACCTGCCCCGAGGGCGCACACTGCTCCACGCAGTCCAAATCGGCAGTCCGCCCCGTTTGGCCATGCGCTGCCCCTGCCGCCCCCAGACTTGGAGCCAGTTGGGGGTTTGAGATGGCTCAGCACTGGTTCCAGCCAGCTGGAAGCGGGAAGCGAGGCTCGAGATTCTGGCTTCGAATTGTTTTTTCCAACCATCCTGTGGTGTTGGGTCTCTGTTTTGAAGAGACAGTGCCCCGCGTTCTCCTCCCGCGGCCCCCTTCCCCCCTCCTCCTCCCATCCCATCCCTGCACTCTTTCGGCACACCCCTCACACGTTCCGTGACCCCATAGGGAGTTCTAAGGAATGCCGCAGTGGTCACCGAAGGCCCTATTCCGCCGCACCCCTCGCACGTTTCGTGGCCCCGGAAGTAGCTCCACCAGGGCACCAGTGGCAGCGCCCGCATTCAGTCTTTGCTCGATTTCGGCCCCCCCGCCCTCACACGTTTCGTGGCCCTGTCAGGAGCTCCACCGAAGGCGGCAGTGGCAGCCTCCGCATGCGGTTCCACCCCCACTTCGGTGCGCCGCTCACACGGTTCGTGGCCCCACAGGGAGCCTCAACAAAGGCCGTAGTGGCAGCGCCCGCATGCCGTTCCACCGTCGATTCCGGTGCACTCCTCACACGTTTCGTGGTCCGATGGGGAGTTCCACCGAAGCACCAGTGCCAGCGCCCGCGTGCAGTTCCACTCTCCAATTCGGTGCGCCCGTCACACGTTTCATGGCCCCATAACGAGTTCCACCAGAGGCCCCAGGGGCTGCGCCCGCATGCAGTTCCATCCCCATGTCAGCACACCCCTCACACGCTTCGTGGCCCCATACGGAGCTCCACCGAAGGCCCCAATGACAGCCTCCGCGTGCGGGTCCACCTTCCATTTTCGTGCACACCTCACACGCCTCGTGGCCCCACGGGGAGCTCCACGTAATTAAGGCCCCACTGGCAGCGCCCGCAATCGTGCCACCCGATGATTCGGTGCACCGCTCACACGGTTCGTGGCCCCATAGGGAGTTCCACTAGATGCCCCCGTGGCAGCGCCCGCATACGGTTCCACCCTCGGTATCGGTGAACCCTTTTTCACATTTTGTGGTCCCATAAGGGGCTCCACCGAAGGCCCCAATGGCAGCCCCCGCATGCGGTTCAACCCTCGTTTCAGTGCACCCATCACACGCTTGATGAACCCACAGGGAGGTCCACCGAAGTCCCCCGTGGCAGCGCCCGCATGCGGTTCCACCTTCCATGTCGGCGACCCCCTCACACGTTCTGTGGCCGCATAATAGTAGGCTATAGGGAGCTCCACTTAAAGGCTCCAGTGGCAGCGCCCGCATGCGGTTCCACCCCTCTTTTCGGCAAACCTCTCACACGCTTCGTGGCCCCATAGGGAGCTTCACCAAAGGCCCCAGTGGCCCCTGTTGCTGGCCCCTCTCCTTCATATCGCTTTCCTAGCGATGCTCGGATGCTGCAGTGCCAGCGCCCGAATGCTGGCCCCGCATTTCGGCACACCCTTCACGCCCTTCGCGGCCCCAGAAGGAGATCCATCGAAGGCGATACTCACCACGACGGTTCTCACAACGGCAGACGGTTGGGTCCTTCGCAAGGCTAATTTGAGGATGTTTCTGCCTCCAGGGGCAATTTTTTGGGCCCGGGCCCGTCACAAGGACCCGGGATGAACATTTGCACCAGATGGACCCCGGGAGAGGTCCGGGCACCGATTTTAAACGATTTTGACCTGATCGCCTTCCTGACCGCCTTTCTGGGGCCCCTACGATGTAAGTCCCCCCGGCGTCGTGTTCCACCTGCTAAGTGGCTACGGTCAATACAGAAGTCAGGTGCTGAACCGTGAATGGAAGGAACACCGCCGCTCGGAAGGAACATGTTCGTGTTCGGTGGATTGGTCAGGGGTTATGGCTGAAGGCTCCAGCTCGCCGCCGACCGGCAGCTAAGGCGGCGAGGATGTAGTTTTCTTTCAGGACCACGCTGTCGTGGCGCCCGCTCCACTCCACCCTGCCTCCGCCCCCCTTCTCACCACAGAGGCGCCCGAGTTGAGACTGAGGTAGTTGGCGCCTCGTTGCCACGGATGGACATAGTTCGGACCACTGGTGCTGTGGTCAGTACGCTTGTGGCTGAGCTTTGTCAGGTCAAGAGCCACTGGTGCATCTGGGCCCATGGGCTGGGTCTTGGTGCCGACTTTGAGCTGCCGTTGTCTCAACTCGCCTTGCTCCGATCTTCTCATCATTATTAGTATCGCCTCGTTTTCCTTTTCGGTTCTTAAGTATTCCTCTCTCCGGGTCCTCCCTCTGCCTCCCACCCGCCCTCCTGTTCCTCCCAGGAGTCGACCTCGTCCGAGGGCTCGCGCTGTTTGGTTTCTCCTCTCGCGCTTCAGCGGAAGAGCTGGGGCGGCGGGTCCTTGATAGGAGGAAATACGTGCCTGACGAAGTGGAGGAGGAGTTTTAACTTGTTCAGTTTCGCTCGTGCATGCGAATTGGGTGGCCCCCCTTTCAGCTGGTGCTGCACTCCTTCCTCCCTCCCTCGTCCTCCCTTCCCCTTTCTCCTTCTCCTCCTCCTCCTCCTCCTGCTCCTCCTCCTTCTCCGCCCTCCTCCTCCTCCTCCTCCTCCTCCTTCTCCTCCTCCTCCTCCTCCTCCTCCTCCTCCTCCTGCTCCTCCTCCTCTTCCTCCTCTTCCTCCTCTCAAACCATTCAGGCGCAAGCTCCAAGTCCTCTTCCCCCGAGGAGAGGCCGTGCGTTTGCGTTTCCTCGGTGCCTCCACGTGGCGCTTGAGGGACAACCTCAGACGAGAGTCCAGCCCAACTCCCCCGCTCTGGTTGACTAAAGCCGAGGATAGCCATGAGCCGTTTGTGGTCAGAGTGTCAGCACTGTGGGCGACAGGAATACAATGAGAAGCTCATTGACCGAGGCCAAACATGTGTTTGTGGCAAGAAGGTTTCGTTATATTAAGCCCAAGAAGAAGATGTCTGCATCTGGCGGTGGTAGTGGGAGTGGACAGTCCACGCCTAAGAGTGCCCTGCGGAAATTGATTCGCTTTGCTGAGGGGCAGGACACTCACGGAGGAGGCGGAGGGTCACAGCAATCCACTCCCAACACGTCCCCGCGCGGGTCGGCAGGTGGTCAGAGAGATCAGCGGTCTGTGGCTTCGCATTTGCAGGCAGCTCTCCAGGCAGCTCGTGATCCTGAATTGCGCGCCAGTCTTCAGCAGCAGGTCGAACGGTTCCAAGCTCAGAAGGGGCTAGGTGCTGCCAGTGTTGTTCAGGCCATGCAGCAGGCCGATGGCGCTTGGAGAGATGCGAAGAACCGTCACCAGCAGGCGGTCACACCGGTACTGCGATTGGAAAAGAATTTGGCAGCCGCACGAGACAAAGAGGCTAAATCATCCAAGTTGGTGGCTGAGACAGCCCTCACCCGTGCACAAGCGGCAGCTGCTGTGGCTACGCTCGAGGGTGTCTCCGTCAGCGCAGCCGTCAAAGAGGAGAAGAAGCGTTTCGATGTCGTGTGGGGCGAAGATTTGTTCAATAACTTAGACCAGCTTGAGTGTGAGCAGTCAGAACGCGAATTGTTAAAGAAGTGCTTGGTCGAGTTGCAGGCGCAGAAGGCGTCGATCTCCACCAAGGCCGACGAAGTCACGCAGTTGGTTGAGCGTGCTAAGGCTACCAAGGCCGCCATTTCCGAGAGGCTGGCTAAGAAGCGACGCAACAGTGCAGGTGAAGCAGGTGGCACTTCATCTTCAGGGAGTACCCCTGCAGCTGCAGCCGGTGCGAATGGCGAAGGCTCGCGCCCTACGCCATCTCCCGACGAGGCCAAGATCAAGGCCGAGAGGGATGCCAAGATCGCGGCAGAGGCTGAGAAGATTTCGCATGCACAGTTCATCGCGCAGAGGCATGCGGAGCAAGCTGCAGGACCATATCCTGATCAAGAGCTGCGACTAGGGACTTCAAAGTCCCCACAGGTGGCCTACGAGCCACGCCGTCGTCCTCAGTTGCCTGAATTCTCCACCGTGCTGTTCGGGAATGTCACGTCCATGGGCGACAAGGTGCGGGACTTCATTGTGGCCAACTTCGAGGCGGGGAAAGTAGACGTCTGCGCTGTTGCTGAGACGCATGCTTCACGTTTTAATTCGGCCACCTGCCTTAAAAAGGCTCGACGAGCCAACATCAGATTGCATATGAACCCAGCTCGCAAGACTGGCCGTGCTGTCACGGTGCTCGGACAAGATCGCGACACCGAAGGGGGGGAGTGGACTTTGACGCCTGGTCACAGGCAAGTTCACTTCCTCGTTCACCAGCTCGATCGTGTTCAGGAGTTCCAGTATGATGGCCAGGTTGCAATAGATGGTGGCCTGGCTGTGCATATTCATATGTCTGGGCACTCGTATGTTTCAGTTCCATCTTAATCTTTCACTTCGGTCGGCATGGCCAGCATGAACCTTGCTAGGTTCAGCAAGCTGGGGGCCTTTTTGGCCGCGCTGAAACTTCCATGGGCCCTTGTGGGAGATTTCAACATGTCCGCGGCCGTTCTCGGCAAAGCTGGATTTTTCTTTCGCATAGGCGGTCATCCTGTGCACCCTAGTACAGAATACACGTGTGACGCAGGTAAGTCTGGTTCTAATATCGACTTTGCCGTCAGCAGCGCGGCCGCAGCCCCCCTTTTTTCATTTGATTTCGCATGTTTTACGGTCCCCTGGAAAACTCACTGTGGTTTCCAAATTTTGATGAGATCGACAGGTA